GGTGTACCTACTAATCTGGTAAAAGTTATTGAATACCCTTAGTTTTTGCTAGGAGCATCTGCACCTGGTAGAGCGTATTTTTTTAATCATAAAATATATTTGTTTAGATGACCGAATTCTTTTGAAGGAGTTCATGCATTGCTGTACTGTAAGTTGAACTTTAGCATTACATGCTCACTTTTTTATGAGAAAATTTAAAAAATTTATAACTTGCTAAAAAAAGTACATTCTACTAAAAAGTATAACTTGTATAAAAACAGTAAATAGTTTTTTTCTCATATTTCTTTTGTTAGATTTAACAAATAATAAAAAAATATTTTGGTTTTGTTTCTTTGCTTTAGATTGCCCTTCAGCAGCTGAGTAATGGAGCCTTTCCTTTTTTATATAAAGACTTTCATGAAACCTTATTACAAGCAGCCCATGCTTTTTGAAGCACAAAAAAACACTATTTTTCTCCCTGGTCATTTATTTCAGCATTTTGCAACAACCCCCCTTCCCCCCCCCCCCCCACACGCACACACAAACACGCGCGCGCAAACACACATACACCGATACCTCTTTCTAAACAACACCTCTTCGTCACCGCAACCCCTGCGTGTCCCGGTTTATAACTTCAAAATATTACTTTATATATATATATAAAGTATATTTATATATACATATATATATATATATATATGTATATATATATATATATATATATATATATATATATATATATATATATATATATATATATATATATATATATATATATACACGATGTTGTTTTATTGTACTAAGTTATGATACAAAGTCTCTTGTTCGTTTGAGAGTGATCAATATTAAGTAAATTGTTTACTAAATAGATCAGTATTATTATATAAAGAGTTTGATTATTTAAAAAAATACAACTTTGTGATGGAACTTAAAGTTTCATGCCCTTCGGCAATCATCAGCCATATTTTTTATTCTTTAAATTAAGAAAATACAGTTAAAAAATACAAAATACAGAAGTTAAAAGAAAATAACCATGACAAAGCAATGGAATGAGTTCGGACATCAAAACAAACAATTTTTTAATTAATTAGAAAATTGCTCAATCACCCGTGTCGAATAGTGCGAGAAGGAGCTTGTTTCGATGCCTGCACTTGGATACCATTTCATTTTTTTTGTTTAGTAGATTTTTATTTTTGGAAAATAGAATTTCATATTTTTCGTATGTGCATAGTTTGCAGGACTTCGTGGCTGGGTTGTAAGCCTTGCACTGCATAACTATTTTCCATTTGACAACTGGGTTTAAGTTGGCATCTTTTAATTTCCAAAATTCTTTTGATAATTCGGTGTCATTTTTGTATTTTAGAATGTTAAATGATTTTATATGATTGGCATTTCTAATTTTGAATGGTGTTTCACTTATATTGGCTTGGTATACAATGTTTTTTGTTAAGCATTGGTTTGATAAAGAGCATGTATTTTTATTAAGGCAATTGCAGTTGGTTTTAGGTGGAATTTTGTTGTTGTTCATAATTTGTTGATTGTGTGCATTTAAAAAAGATTTTATATTCGGCATACAGCTATAACTTATTTTTATCGTGTTTCTGTTAAAAATTTTGTGGAGTCTGTGATTTATTGGGAAGTGCTTGTTGATTAAGGTTAAAAAGCTTTTTCCTACATTAGTGCTAACATTTTTGCTAAAAGGGTTGAACCATATGATGTTTTGTTTACAGTTTTTGTATGTGGTAAATTTAAATTAGGGTGATATGAAAGTTTGTGATTAAAACCGGATCTTAATAGTGCGTCATTGTACATAGGAGTAGATCTTCGGAAGATTTCTTGGTTGAATCAGCATGAATATAGTTTATAGAATTCCCGGGCTTCGAATATGTTTGAAAAATATTGTCGTTGAGATTTAATGTGACGTCAAGATAATTTATAATTTTCATGTTGCACTGTATTGATATAGTGAGTTCGTTTTTTTTAAATATTTCAACAAAATGTTTTTTGATTTTTTCCATTTGGGGACCACTCATTTTTTTAAAAACTGCTAAACCATCATCGCGGTACAAACTGAAATCATTTTTATTATAAAAGTGTGCAATTTGAAACAAAATATAAATTCCCACAAGATCACATACTTCAGCACCATCAAATGCTCCCATTGAAACATCGAATAAACCGCTTGATATTTTATCCAAACTTGATGATCGTTAAATAATAATGATTTTCTTGCATGATAGAATAATGTTTTTATGGTTAGGGTCAATGTTTAGATGCTGCTCAGCAAAATGAATAGCGTTGTTAAGAAGTTTTTCAGATATCGAAAGGTAAAAATCAACAATATCAAAGATAAGGAATTTATATAGACGTTTATCACTGATGCGATTAAACCAGTTTGTGGTATCTTGGGTTTTTTTCCACTGATTGAGATGAAGTTCAGAGTTTATATTAGAAATATATACTCTGAACTTGTAAATATATCGAATCTTGAATACATCGACTGAGGGTTTTGGTTAGGGCAGGCAGTCTATCATTTAAGAAAAAATATATATATATATTCAAGTTTTTAAACTATTTCTGGTCTGGTTTATTAGCGCTCTCTTCAAAACTACAGTTTATGGGAAAAAACTTTTCGACTACCACGCAAAAACTCTGTGTCACTCCATTGACTAGTTTTCAACTATATAAATGACACCTAACCTTATTTATATAAATTTATAATTTATCATTGTAAATTTTTATTATTTATGGTTAAATATATGGAGAAAAAAAAAAAAAAAAAAAGAAAGTATAACTTTACTAATTCTGCCGATTTCATTTTTGGCAGGGTTTAATAAACGAACAGTTGGATTATTTGTAAAGTTTTCTTTATGATCTTTTAATTTTATAAAACAATTCGAAGATGTATTAATGTCGATTTTATTGAAAACGTCGTGATTTTTTAATATCCGTTTACCTTCTTTATTTATTTGATTTTTTATTTTTTTATTTGATTTTTTGTAAGTTGAGGTGACAGCATTTGTAAGCAAATGGGTATAATTTTCTTTATATATTATATAAATTGATATATTATAGATATATTTTATAAATTGGATATATTATATAAATTGGATGTTTTATCGGAAAAAAATATTAAATTTCGTAAAGTATACAATAATTTCAAAAGATGACATTATCTACCATACGCAATAATAAATTTACATATACTTTATGTAAGTTTATTATTGCGTATGGTAGATATGTCATCTTTTAACTTGTCTTTGAAATTATTGTATACTTTACGAAATTTAATATTTTTTATAAGATCTATCAGATCGTTTTCAAATGTAGACATAACAGAAATTTGTTTGGGATAACCTGATGTTTTTATGCCGTAATTGTGATAAAAAATATTTTCCTTACTTTTTTGATCTTAATTAAGAAAGAAGAAAGCTTTCCATCTCATTCTTTTAATTAATGCTTCGGTTTTATCAAGTAATTATATTTTGAAGTTTTTTATTGATGGAATCGGAATGTTCTTGATTGAATAATTCAAGTTAGTTTTTTTCATTGCGTAGACGACTTGAGAAGAGTGCTCGACGTATGGAGCTAATTGATGTTGTTTTATTGTACCAAGTTATGATACAAAGATTCTTGTTCGTTTGAGAGTGATCAATATTAAGTAAATTGTTTACTAAATAGATCAGCATTATAATATAAAGAGTTTGAATATTTAAAAAAATACAACATTGTGATGGAACTTAAAGTTTCATGCCCTTCGGCAATCATCAGCCATATTTTTTATTCTTTAAATCAAGAAAAAACCGTTAAAAAATACATAATACAGAAATTAACAGAAAAAACCATAACAAAGCAATGGAATGAGTTCCGTTAAAACAAACAATTTTTTAATTAATTAGAAAATTGCTCAATCACCCGTGTCAAATAGGGCGAGAAGGAACTTGTTTAAATATTTTAAATATATATATATATATATATATATATATATATATATATATATATATATATATATATATATATATATATATATATATATATATATTTAAAATATTTTATATATTACTGCTAAACCTAAGACTTACTGGCACCGGATCCAGTGATGGATCGGTAAATTTTAGTGGTGGTGGTGGGAGGGTGGAGGATGTTTAAATGTTTTTGTATTGTGTATTTGCGTCTCCTAAAAAAAAATCCTCAAAATCTAAGATATTTTTAGGACTTTTAGATTCTGTTGGTGGTGGTGGTGAGGGGGAAGGGAGATGCATACCGTATTTCCCCTGGATCCGTCACTAATCGGATCTAAAACAAACAAGAAAAGCTCTCTAATAAGAATTAATGGGTGCAATATCTATTTTTGGCCCCGGGCGCAAAATCCCTTGTTATGCCACTGAAATTAGTCGTTTCAATCACGATTAAAAAATTCAGATTTTTTTATGTTTAGGATAATTATGAGGTAATTTCTCAAATATATTCGATTGTATACTCTTTATGACGTTGTTATAGAATAAATCTAGATTTATTCTATATTCAATTAAAAAACACATAGGTAATTAGATGCACAATATAATAATTAACAAAACATAAAAACAAAAATAAATAATAAACAAAACATAAAAACATTAAATTTATTTTTGGCGTTTTAAAGGCTTTTTTATAAATTGTTTTGAAGACGAAAATCAATATCCAAACTTCCTTTTAAAAAAGTGATAGCTATACATGTATTATACAATAGCCGTTCTGAATGGGTGAGATAGTGCTTTATTTTTCAAATATTTTGATAATTAAACTAAAAACATAACGTAATGAACCTTTTATAAAGTTAAGTTTTAAATTTTTAAAATTAAGCTGCGGTTAATTTTTTTTTTTAACTTTCTAATACTTCAAATTTAAATTCGCCAGAGCCTGCGAACCAATCAACAATTTTCAAAACACAACCTTTCGACGTAATTACTTAGCACGTTAAAGCTAACAATGTTGACCTTTTTATCTTACGTCCAAGCCTCCACGGTTTAATATTAAAGTTTTAATAAACAAAACAAAGCGCAGATGGTTAAGATCCATACGCTGGGGAGCAGTCCAAGAATGTCTTATTAAATTCTATAAACTTGTTAATATTTCCACTCTTGAAAATTAAATTTTATTAATTTTTTAAAATCGAGCAAGTTTTATCAACAAAATTTGAAAAAGATTTTTTTGTTTCCTAGCTATGGGTAAAAGTTTAGACTTTTATGATGCTAACTTTTTTATATATTTTTACAAAATTTGAAAAAGATTTTTTTGTTTCCTAGCTATGGGTAAAAGTTTAGACTTTTATGATGCTAACTTTTTTATATTATATAACCTAATATAATAATATAACATAAAAACTTAGGTTAAAATAAAAATACTTATTTTCACGATGTAAATTTTGTAGTGTATTAGATTTGTTTTATTTTCTAGCTTATTTCTTTAGTTATTTATTAAGGGCTACATTTATACATTAAAAAATAGAAAAAGTTTCTTCATATATATACAGCTTTAGGTCTAAACAGCTACTAAAACTATAGCAAAAACTATATATAATTTGTTAGTTAGTTAATAGATATAATAAAAAGTCAAATTTTGAAAGTAAAAACTGAATAAAATAGAATAAAATAAGTTTGTATTGTAGTTAATGTGTAATGCAAAATACTAACAAAGTGACTTTGAAAGTATATTATAAGTTTTGTACTTTTGGAGGTGTCATGATTTATCTTGAACCATTCATTGGGTAAACTTTTTTATAAACACAAAATTTTCCATCGGATATAAGAGTAGCATATAACAATGTCTATGTTTGGGTTATTCTCAAATATAGAAAAAATATATATTTAAATAACTTTGTATTGTTTATAAGTATTAAAAAAACTCTTAGCAAAAAAAAACTGTTACTAATTTAAGCCATATAGTTATAGGTTTCAAGTTTAGTTATTAGGTTATATTATTTTTCAGTAATTAAACTAATCAACAAGGACCTTGCTGATTGAGAAACCATTATTTACTAAATTATCTTTCTATTTAAATAAAAATTCAGAAAAATTGAAAATAATAGTTTAAATATAAATTGTTATATAAATATAAACACTTTGAAATAAATATAATAAATAAAAAGTTTTTTATTTATTATTTTTCTTTTTTGTTACATATTTTAAAAAATTTAATTTCTGACTAAATCTAACATAATTTTTAAAACTTTAATAAAGCTAAAATTTTGTATAAGAGGCATATAAGATTGTGTGAAAGGCCTGAAAGTAAATTGAAGTTTCTAAAAAATATTTTTCAAATTTATTTTCAAAAACCTATATATAAAAGTTAAAAATAGAATGGGATACATTTAAAAGGATACATTTTTTGAATTAAAAGGATAATTTGAATTAAAAGGATAATTTGAATTAAAAGGATAATTAAAAGGACAATTAAAAGGATACATTTTTTGAATATATCTTTTTTAAATCTTCTTTTCTCTTAAAACATTTAATATATTTTTTGTATATAGCTTCTGTATATTCTATCCAGTGACAGATCCAGGGGAGGGGGATGGTCCACCCCCCCCCCCCCCAGAATCTGAAAGTCTTGAAATTAAGGACCTTTTTTAGAAGAGGCAAATTTGGTACATAACAAAAATATTTCAACATCACCCCCAAAAAAAAAAAAATGCTAGATCCGCCACTGATTTTATCCTTACCTAAAATATTTTAATATATTTTTTGTATATACCTTCTGTATATTCTATCTTATCCTAAAATTTTCTACTTCTAATTTTTAGTGATGTACCAATTAATCAGCATCGTCTTAATTGGCCTCTTTTTACACAATCAGAATCAGTATCGACATCGTCTTTTTTTATTAATTTATCGATTTTCTAACCAATGGCATTTTAATATTTTTTCTTGTATTATGATAATAATTAAATAATAAACTAAGTTTTATGCATAACTTAAAATTTGTTTTTTTTAACTTGGTTTACAGACAATATTGTTTATTCTTAAGATGATGTTTATAAGATTTTAAATTAACAGCTGGAATAATACATGAATAGTACAATAAACAATATTGTCTGTAAACTAAGTACTTTTACTACCATAATGTTGTTTTTAGGATAGTTTTATTTTTTGTTGTTCTATTGTTATACTTAAAAGTAACATATTTAAGCATTGTTATCTATATGTGTTCAAGTGTAGCCTTCTTTATTTCTATATTTTTATTATTTATTTATTTTTTATTTCAATTCACCTCCCCAAGGCCTTGAAAGCAACTCCAGTCGAGAAGGCTGCTTTAGTTATGATTACAACCCTCTCTCAACTTTATAACTCCTAAACAAAAACTTTGACAAACAAGGCCGCTGCATGGAGAAACAAGTTGAGCGCGGTATTACCAGGGGCGTGGTGGGGATTGAACATCACAAAATAAAATTATTCTAAAAACAACTTAATTATCTAAAAATGATTTAGATATCTAAACAATATATGATCATATCATATGTAGTTAAGATATCTATATTAATAGTAAATTAATAAAGAATTCTAAGTAAACTGCTTATGATAGTACCATTTTCTTTTTAAAATTGAAATAAAAAGTGTTCCTTTAAAATTGTATTTATTTTTTTGAAAGTTTTTTTTTCATAGGAAAAAAAACTAAAAAATGTATTTTTTTTTAACTGAGTATTTCTAATATCTTTTAAAATAATGGTTTGGCTATGAATTGGGTCCAAGTATTTGTTTACCAGTACTGATTCCATGAAAAAGATTACACAATTTAAATTTTATATTTTCAATTTTATATTTTCAAAATTTTATTAATTAGTTAATTCATCCGCATTGGCTTTTTCCCATCCATTGATATCGGCATCAGCCAAAAAAGTGCTATCGGTACATCACTACTAATTTTTAGTATTGTGTGTATCCTACTAAAAGTTAATTTTATTAGTTGTAATCACTAGGACTCCAGGTTCAAAAATTGATCGTTCCTTTAACCTAAAAGTCTTAGTTTTTTTCCCATTAGTTGTTCATAAGCTTTTTTATATTTTTAGAGCCCCTGGATACCAAAAACTAGGAAGAAGTAATCTTTTTGAGACTTATTCTTAAGAAGTAATCTTTTTGAGACTCATATTATTATTATTATTATTATTATTATTATTATTATTATTATTATTATTATTATTATTATTGTTATTATTATTGTTATTATTATTATTATTATAATTTCATTTGGAAAAATTTTTAATTTTTAATTCATTAAAAAAATAATTTTTTTTTTGTTTTTTTTTTAATGCGATAAAATCTTAAATAATTATCATAATATGAAATGATTACAAACATTAAAAGTGATGAAAACTAAAGAGTAAGACAAGTGTGGTACTAACAGGTGTGTAGTGGGGATTAATCACAAAACTGTTTGATTTTATTACAAACATTTTTAACTAACATTTGTATTTTCAAATGATAAAATTAATGCTTTATTAAACTGTTTGTACATAGTATTATTTTTATAGTTTTTTAAAATACATTTTTCAAATAGTTTTCTTAAAATAAATATAAATATATTCAATTTATTTATTATTTAAAAAGGGTAGTAGTAACATTATCAAAAACAGCCGAACTGAATAAGCAAAAATGTGATTTTCTGGAATAATATTGAAATAGAGAATAAAACTGAAATTGTAAAAAAAGGAATTGTATCTAAAATACGAAAAGCAGAATACCTTTTTGTATTTTAGATAATATGAAAAAGCATTAAGAATACCTTCCTTACATGTTTAACCTGTTTGTCAGTTGATGAACTAACACTCCTTGCATGTTCTAGCTCTTTTCTAATTTTTTGATACTATTCCTAAATCCAAATTTCAATATTATTTCGTATAGGCATTTTGAACATTATTCCTTCTAAATGAATTTCAATTTTTTTTTTCAAAATAATTCGTTAAAATTAATTTTCAATATTAATCCCAAAAAAAGATTTTGATCAAAAAAATTTTGATATTAATTTGTTTTTTTAGTATTTTTTTCCATACTATTCTGCTTTCCCTTTATAAAGCTTATAATTCCTAGATCAAACAAAAATAGCTATAAATGTTTTAATTTGTTATAATTTTAATTATTTACAGTATCAAACTATTTTTATTTTTAATTTCTTTTAGTTTCTGTCAAAGTCTGTTTTGATTATGAACCGGAACAAGCAGATGAATTAGCACTCTTAACTGGTCAAATTATAAATAATGTCAATATGCAGGATGGTGGATGGTGGGAGGGGGAAATCAATGGAAAGCGTGGAGTTTTCCCTAGTAACTTTGTTGAAGTCATAAAAGATACCAACCCCAGTCAATCATCGTTATCAGCTACTGCAAAAATTACAAACTCTGCAAAAAAGGCAAAAGTTGGATTTCGTTATGAACCTGAACAGGATGATGAATTAGCATTAGAGGTTGGTGAAATTGTAGAAATTTTAGATGATAGTGATGATGGATGGTGGAAAGGTAAATTAAATGGAAAGGTCGGAATGTTTCCATCGAACTTTGTAGAAATTTTTAAAGAAGAAATAAAAACTTCACAATCAAGTAACTTACCACTAGCTCTTCCAACTTTACCAACATCTCCTGTTGATCTTGATGCTCCAGGTTTTGTTAGATTTCAACTTATTTTTAATACTTTGTAAATAATAATTTTAATCAAAAAATTAAAATTAATCATAATATTTTAGTAATATCATTAGTGTGTAGTAAATTTACAGGAAATGATATGTAATGTAATATATGCAGTATGCAATATTTACCAAAAACTTGTAGAATAGTAGTTTATTTATTAATCAATTAATAAATGAACTACTTTTATGTGTTTTTATGAAGGAAAAAAGTAAATCTTCAACCATCTTTTACAGGCCCTCATGTTGATTTTCTAAGAACCAATTTATTTTGTTTTTTAAATATTAAAAATTAATTTACTGTACTTGCATGAACTGTCAGTAAAAAATGTCAAATGCATCACTCTGTGTGAGTAAAAAATCTGTCATGTTGATGCAGAAACAGTCTACGGTGACTAGTGGAGTAAATTTAAAAAAACAGCTGCACTTTTTTTTAAGAATGTATGCTTTTGTTTAAAAGTTTCTGCTGCTTGAGCCTGAATGTCAACACCTCAACATTATTTTTATTTAAATTTTATTTCTCTAATCAAATATTTTTTATCATATTCATTCAGGAAATGTTGCTGTTTACTTGTAGAAGTGTCTTTGAAATCAACATCTTCATATCTTCAAGGTTTAATTGACTATTCACATCAGAAGATAACTTTCCAGTATTCTGCTACATAACTAATTGATAAATGAATTTCTTGATACATTACTGTTTATGCATTCTTACCATAGTTGTGTTTTGAGAATTTAGACCATGCAATTTTTAAAGTACTCAGTGGGTTCTGGCTAAATTGTAAAATGTTGCCTTTCTCTTAACATAATTAATATGAAATCAAGACAAAAACTAAAAACATTTTATCTAATTAACAGTTCTTCCAGTTAAAATTAGGTTCAAAGTATTTATTTTAATCGCCAACTAGCATAAAAAATACGCATTGTTTTGTTTGATGTTTTAACAGCATCAGGAATTCTTTTGTTCTTGATAAATTTACTGTAAACATAATCAGATGCATCTGCCAGATATTTACAGCAGACATTTTGTTTAGATTTGAAAATTTACTTATCTAAATATAAAGTATATCACATAATGAAAATAAAGTGAAATTAAAAAGTATACAAATGGCAATGTCTTATCCACAAAAGCAAAATTTTCACAGCATTTTGACATTTTCTGGTCAGTCTACATTTTGAAACCAAGAAAACATGCTTGTTTTCCAGACTCTGAAAAATGTTAAAATTTATTTTATTACGTTATAAGCTCATTTATTCAAAATTTAACTTTTACTTGAAAAGCTATTGAATTATCTTTTACTTCAAGCTCACTTTATTTGTTCATTTTTTGTTTTACTAGCAACAAGATAACAAAATGATGTTAAAGGGATCCCAAACCTTGTAGACATTTTGTGTTCATATAAAGAGAAAGATAAAAAAAAATTGTTAAGACTAAGTTGTTTTGATTAAAACAAAAGAATAAAAGCATACCAAGAAAATTTTTTTTTTTAGTTTATTCGAAGCTCGCCTTCTATGTTTTGTTGTATGCCTTAATCTACAGACTTGATAATTTATTCAAGCGTGTTTTATTCCTAAAAGTTTCAGTACATGGCATTATTGAATTTTTTTTGTTTATGTAAAAGATTGATGTAAACAAACAAAAAATCAATGATATCATGTTGATGTCATTGATACAAGAAGTGGTGATATCATCATATCATCACTTCTTGTATCATCATACCATCACTAATTGTATCATCATATCATCACTTTTTGTACCTTCATATCATCTCTTTTTGTTTCATCATATCATCACTTCTTGTATCATCATATCATCACTTCTTGTATCATCATATCATCACTTCTTGTATCATCATATCTTGTCATCAACTTTTTGTATCATCATATCTTGTATCACCAAGAAAATGTGGTGATAATGCTGTATCATAACTCAATACTTTAGTATCAGCCATTTCAGGAATGTAACTAGGATCAACATCTGAGTCACCACAATATTTAGAAGCAGTGCTAGTAAAATAGATAAGCAACTCTCATTTCAAACTATACAAAGACTGTTAGATTGGGTATTAGATATTACTTATCCTATAAAATATTCCAAGTTATTCTCGAATGTTTTACTTTTCTGAATTGACATACAAACTGGCGCTAATGGCATTAAATTAAAAGATAGTAAAATTTTGGAGGGAGTAAATGTATATAACATATATATATATATATATATATATATATATATATATATATATATATATATATATATATATATATATATATATATATATATATATATATGATATATACATAGACAATATAGTATATAACATATATATATATATATATATATATATATATATACATATATATATATATATATATATATATATATATATATATATATATATATATATATATATCAGAGCTTGTTTTCAATTTGGACATCGCCTCCCCTCGGACCATTCTTGAGGTCTGTTAGAGGAATGCAACAAACTATTGTTGATTTAAACAGTGAAAATGAGCAATGGTTGGTTGCCCTCATAAATCAGATCTCAAAAACAGTCCAGGGGGCGGAGATGTCTGACCGTTAAATTGAGCCCTATATGTATATATATATATATATATATATATATATATATATATATATATATATATATATATATATATATATATATATATATATATATATATATATATATATATATATTAAATACACTTAATAACATGACAAAGATTTCAATTGCATAACTTGGTTCCGTAAAACAGTAAAAATTATATTTAAATATATGATCGAACACTGTTCGATCCAAACACACTTTGATCGGACATATTGGCCAGGACTTTATAAAAAATTAAATTGAGCCTTGTATATATATATATATATATATATATATATATATATATATATATATATATATATATATATATATATATATATATATATATATATATATATAAGGCTCTATTTAATTTTTATAAAGTTCTGGACAATATGTCCAAACAAAGTGCATTTGGGTCGGACAGTGTCCGATCAAATATTTTAAATTTAATTTTTACCGTTTTACGGAACCAAGTTATGCAATCGAAATCTTTGTCATGTTAATTAGTGTATTTAACTTTAGTTATTTTAAATATTTTATCGCATGTTTTTGCTTTTTTTTAATAAAATATATTTTTAATTTAATATTACATGTTTTTTTAGACTTGAACTTGCATGCTATAACTGACAACACTTTTTTTTATTATTCTTAACAACTTGACAGCAGCTTTTTGATGTTTTAACTATTTAAAAGCAATATAAAAAAATCGTTACAAATAACTTTTAATGGTTGATCTTTTTTAAAGTTTTTATTATACGCAATGGTGTAAAATAAAACTTTAAAAACTTTAAAAAACTTTAAATAAAATAAAAACTTTTAAAAAGTTTAAATAAAATCAAAAATTATAATTTAAAATAAACACATGTGTAAATTCAATGTTATATTTAATTTTTTTTGTAGTAGGTGTGTATTTTTTATAATGAATTTAAACGTTTGAAACTTTTTTTAAAAAAGTTTCAAACATTTATATTTATCATAATGTCTTTCTAAAAATCTTTTATTAAAAGATTATGGGATCGTCCATAAAGTATGTATGCTTGGAGGGGAAGAGGGGGTCTGCAAATGGCGTATATGAAATGGGAGGGCAGTGAGTCAAATATAAAACGCATAGGTACTTTTAGGGAGGTAGAAAGTACTAAAAAAAGTGTATTGCAAAATGCGTGTGTGGGGAGGGGGGAAGGGCTTGACGAAAAAAGAGTGTATGTAATTTATGGACGACCCCTATTATTTTCATGTTACTTTAAATTATGAATAAGTTAAATTAAATTTTCCCAAGATTTGATTGCTTTTTTTTTGTTTCTATTTTTACAATGAATTGTTTAAAAATTGTTACTTTTTTTAAACTTGGCTTTTAATCAAAGAATGAAATGGTTAAAAATTATTTTAAAAAGACAATGTTGTTTTTTTAAACAATTTTTATTTTTTTGCAACTTTTTGAAAAAAATGTTTAAACAACTTAAAAATATTTATAATAATTATATTTTTTTCTTTTCTTAAATAATTAGTTTCTTTTCTTAAATAATTATATTTTTTAATATAATTTCACTTTTCAATAATTTAAACAAAATTTGTGTATTTATTAAACTATCAATAGAAGTAATTTGTAAAAGCGTTTTGCATAACTTAAATAAAATGTTTCAATAGATAAGTTTTAATTTATTTTTTTTAAACCCAATTAAAAACGTAACAAAAAGTAATTTTAACTTTGAATTTTTTGAGTTTTATTTTAAGTCATTTCATTTTTTTTTTAAATTTACTTTACTTTTAATTTTAATTTTTATATATATACTTAAGTATTTATTTTGTAGAATTTAATTTACTTCGGTCAAAATGTCGTGACTGGGGCTGATATTTGACCAGGGCCAGGGCTGGGTTTGATAAAGCATAGTTAGGGTTATGGTCAGGGCTGCCTAAATTATAGCAAACCCTTTAGATAAAATAAATATTTCATCTTGGATTGAAATTCACATTATGTTTATATATATATATATATATATATATATATATATATATATATATATATATATATATATATATATATATATATATATATATATATAAAGAGAGAGATTTTAAAATTTATATATATATATATATATATATATATAAAGAGAGAGATTTTAAAATCGAAATATAATTTATATATTATTTTTTTATAAAATTTCAACTTTAAGCTGGCGCTGATCACTGAAAATCAATCAGCTGCCAGCCCAATATTTGTGTTTATTTAATAGAATTCACCTCTAATGTTAATCTTTTACTCATAGTACTTTTTAAATATTGTAGATACAAAGATAGAGCGTACAAAGTCCCAAGGTGGTGTTGGATTTGGATTAAAACTTGAAGATTTATCTAGAAATAAATTAAAAAAGGTTACAAAAGAAGTGGAGGATCCAAAAAAACCTATTCAGAAGGTTAACCCATTAGAAAATAGCAAGCCAGAGACTGTTAGTGAAATTTTTTTTTTAATATTTCACAATATATATTTTATATTTAAAAATTGTTATTTCTGGATTTTTTATTTATTCCTAATTTAATAGTTTTTTTATATTACTTTAAAACTTGTAGCCAAAGCCTGTAGCAGCTCCACATCGCAATTTTGACTTGGTTCAGTCTTCAGGTTATATTTTACATGTTAAAATTTTTTTAGATCAGTTTTTAGTATCAAATACAATAAATGCTATATTTAATGTTTTAAGATTAAGTAGAAAAATTTTTCTTTTATACATCTAACTTTGAACTTCTTGGTTCTGAAGCCAGAGCTTTAACCACTGTGCCACAACTGCTACCTTTTATCTAATTTACTGTATAAGGCTATTATCTATATTTGATATAGGTCAGTAACATACCAAAAAGATCAACTAAATCCATTTATTGGTTAAGTTAATAATAAGTTAAGTAAATATGTCAGTAAACTTCTTATTGTTTATCCATTATATTGATTTTATTGTTTATCCACTATATTAATTTTTATTATGATTTTATTATGACCTTATTTATGATTATATTTTTTATATGAACTTCTTGTGATATTTGTTAGTGATAATTACTATATAATATGTCAATTAAGTAATATGTCATTAATTTCTTGTCATTAATAAGTCATTTGAATGCACTTACTATCATATTACTCAGTAATTATGAAATTGTTAAACCACTCTTACTATTGTCATAAAAAGTTTGGCTTGTTCTAGTTCCAGAGGTTATCTTTTTCTGGATATTTCTGGAATTCCAGATTTTTTTTTCAACTTTTAGTTTTTTCTGCATATCTAAAACATTTTCAATACATACTAGTTGAAATAAATAATTTTGAAGTATATTCGTTTTTTAAGCTTTTTCACTCATCACTCATAGAAAAATAATGAAAAGTGTTGAAAAAAAAATTAGAAAAAATTTAGCTAAAAAGAAAATAACGGAAAACAACTTCCGGATTTTTTCCGGATATTTTATTCAAACAGTTTTCTCGTTTTTTTAAAATGACATAAAAAACTTTCATATTGGATGATCTATGTCTAGTTCTTATTTATAAAATTTTATTTATTATTTACTATATCTTATTTATATATCTTATTTATATTTCTTATTTCTTATTTATTATATCTTATTTATAAAATCTTATTTATTAATCTGTTAGCAGGCTTTTGCATGATCCAATTGAGGGTTAGATGTTGTTAAAAATTCTCTTTCAATTTAAGTAAGAATGATCAGTCTTGAAGAAAGCCAGTTATGAAAAAAATAGATTGCTGTTAAAAAAGTTATAAAAAAAAAGATGAAAGATTTGGTGTTTTGGTAGCTTTTCAATAGATTTTGATGTTTTAATAACTATATAGATTTGTTCTGAATTTAAAGTATTTAAACCCAAAACTTATAATAAATTTATCTTTAAAAAGTTATAAAAATATCAATGCTGTAAATACAGATATCGCATGACTTTAAAAAAGAATAATTTTTTTATAAGGAAAATGAAAAAATCTGACTTTGAAACTTTGTAAAATTCTAAAAATGGTTTATAAAAAGTAAAAACTATCAGAAATGTATTTCTGTTTTAAATGATATTCAAATGGTAATTTGAAAATAAAAATAGATTATAAAAAAGTGAAAATAGATAAAAATAGAGAGCTATTATCTACATTTATCAGAAATTATCATCAACTTAGAGAGTACAGAGTTTTTAAGAATTTCTTTACAAAATTAAATTAAATATAAAACAAAAATAAATAATCCAAATGCTCCAAAACTTAGTATCATTAATGTTTTTGTTTTGGAGTTAAAGGGTTGAAGTTGTTACATCAGCTAAAAAAAATAGACGAAAAAAACAATAAATAATTATAGACAAAACAAACAATAATTAACTTTCTGTGGCTGTTGTGACCAAACCTTGGGGAGGCAAATAAATAAATTTAAAAAAGATAGAAATTTACTAGTCAACATCAATGTGTTTTTTTTTTCAAATCATGAAACAAGTGCTACTTTTTTATTATTTTATACATTTTAGCTATGTTTATACAAAGAACATTAAACAAGAACATACGTAAAGAGCAATACAAAAAATAAATTCAGATATATTCAAATTTTCTTTATTGAATATCAAAGCATGATTATTTGTTATATCATTTTGTTTTTGATCATTTTTTATTTTTATTATTGATTTTAGGAGAATAATCTGATTTAATTCTCTATACAGTTCAAACCCATAAAAATTAATAGAAGTGTTTTTACTACAGATGTAGTTAGAATATTTTACTACAGATGTAGTTAGAATATTTTTTTAAGTATAAAAAGTTGATTTTTGCATAGAATTTATAATTAAAAAATGGCTACCAAAATTAAGCAATTAATAAAAAATAAAGCTATTATACAATAACTTTTTTTTTGCTTTTCTTGATTTTTAATTAATTTAATATATCATTAAGTCAAAAATATGTAAGTATAATAGTATAAGTTAAAATTTTATGTTAAAAATATGTATAATAGTTTAATAAAATTATAAATTTATAAAAATTATAAAATTATAAAGTATAATAATTTAATAAAATAAAATTTAAACAATTTTGAAGAAAAAATTAATTATTCTTATTATTAATTTAATATATCATTAAAATTATTCTTTAGGAAAAATAATTTTAATGATATATTAAATTAATTAAAAACCAAGAAAAACAAAAAAAAGTTATTGTATAATAGCTTTAAAAAAATAAAATTGAAAAAATTTTAAATTTTCTTTTTTTAATTACCTAAATTCTAGGAAATATATATATATATATATATATATATATATATATATATATATATATATATATATATATATATATATATATATATATATATATATATATATATATATATATCCCTCGGAATCAGGGTCGGCAATGCCCACCTAACTGCCAACCTGAAAGTGTTTGAGGTCAGCAAAAACTTGCCAACCTTGTTTTTATATTTTATGGTCAGACCTTTGTATCAAATAATTTTTGCTGACCTGATGCCGACCTTAAAAAGGTTGAGGTCGGCCAAGTAATACCGACCTCGTTTTTCCTAATTCCGAGGGTTGTATATATATATATATATATATATATATATATATATATATATATATATATATATATATATATATATATATATATATATATATATATATATATATATATATATATATATATATATAAATGAGAAAACATCAAGTAGTACTACTTCTCAAATACAAATAATAATTTTTTTAAGAAATTTTTCTGGACTATAGTCACCAGCATCATCAATTTTTAAAAATTGTACAAAAATTTAAAGGTTAAAAAAAAAGAGTTTAAAATTTGCTGAAGCAAGCTTTTGAAGTTAACTTTAAACTGAATTTGAAGGAGTTCTTTTTTTTTTTTTTTTTATCCAAAACTGTAAAAAAGCTCAAAATTTAGTTTTAATATCAACTGCTCATCCTCAACATTCTGCTCTTTAAAACTAACTCCAACACTTGTTGTATTCATATTAAAGAAAATGTTAAAAAAAAAGTTTAAGCTCAATTTTTGATTAAATAATAAATGTATATTAAAAAAAACTAAACTTATTGTTTTAGTTTGCCTCCATTTTATTGTGAAGATGAAGTTTTAAAGAATGTGCTTTTACTGAGGCATTTTGCAGTCTTGATAAATTATTTCAAGCGCATTTATATCTTATTAAATTTTATTATATGACATCATTGTAGACTTTCAACAAGAAATGTAGAAATTCTTATAATTTTTTTACTTCTTTTTTTTTGTTGATAAAATTTTAAATTATTTTATTTTCTTCCCATTTATATAAATATAATTATAAATATATTTATAAATTTATTAAGTAATTTTTATAGTTATAATCTTCACATTAGAAAATAAAATAAAAAATGGTCAGGTATTTTATGTTTGTTCATTGGTTATAACTTGTTAGTTATAACCAATGAACAAACATAAATTTATGGTAAAAAACTATTTGTTTATTACCATAGTTAAAAGTAAGCTGTCTGTATTTTTAAGTTTAAATGGTGAAGTCATTGCATTAAATGACCTTAATAAAAGTAGAAAGTTTATTTTGTTTAAATAAATATAAAAAAGTTTCAGAATATAATATAACTTGACAAATGTTTTATTTTTATGTACAAGGGGACCATAAAAATGTATAAAAGATACAAATTTAAAAGATATCCTGACAGTTGTTAAAAACAAACTGTGCTAATAAAACCTTAAAACCAAAAAATTTTTATTTTTTTACAAATTTTTATTGGGGTTTATTGAAAAACATTACAAATAAATATGATTTGCTGTTTGTAGGTAAAAAAAAAAAAAGATTTTTTTATGTATCTAAAAAAAGTACTTTTTATTTAAAAGAAATAAAAAATGTATTTAAAAATATTTTATAATAAGATCATAAACTAAAAATTCGATCAAATAAATTTAGCTCAACTTTTTTTAAATATTATTTTTAATATGAACACGACATGGTGTTTGGTAATCCCTTTAAACAGGAACATTGGTGCTTTCATTTTTTAATAATCCCTTTAAACAGGAACATTGATGCTTTCATTTTTTATTAATCCCTTTAAACAGGAACATTGATGCTTTCATTTTTTAATAATCCCTTTAAACAGGAACATTGATACTTTTATTTTTTAAGAGCTTCATGACTTTTTTGATACATATAGAGGATATGACTTTTAAAAAAGATGTAATCCTATATATATATAAAAAGTCATATAATTCTCAAATAATAACTTGGAGTTATTTAATACCAATGATGTAGCTTCTGCTTTTGAAAAATTGTGCTAAGCATTCCGTATACTGCAGTCAAAGTTGAAAAAGTTGACTAAAACTGATTTTTGATTTGCTGATAACTATTGAAAAACTTTTTCTCCTAAAGTGTATGAAAGATCAATTTAAAAAAAAAAATAATAAAGTTATTATGAATACTACAGTTTTTGGTCATTTTTAATCATCAAAAAATTTTAAAACATTCACTAACCTGTATATTCTAGACTTAAAATAAGGTTTAGCCAAAGTTGAAGCAATGAATACATTTTATGCAAAAATGAAAAGACGAAATAGGCCTTACTTAGAATAGATACATATATGACACAGGCCTTGCTTAGAATGATCGTACCTT